TATGGTGATTACCAGCGATAACATGGATTTAACAAGGTTACCTTTGGTGTAATGTTTTAACACTTGTAAAAAGGTATTGTCAGACATAACTTTTACGAAACCTATGAAAGACTTTCATTATCTGTGGAGTTTTGTACACGTAGGCTAAAAAGATGTGATGTATATTTTTCTGAGATCCCTTACAAAGTTCAACTGTTTCCGAAAAATAGGCAAATATAAATATATACATAATTATAAATTGATTTCATATGTTTAACTACATCACGACATTGTTATTGGAGAAAAAAATTACTCGGAAATCAAAAGCATCAAATAATCATAAAATAATTCAATTCCTGTTCATATTCCGATGCAAAAAGTGCGGCCGAATTCGACAATAAAGCAAGCAATAAATCCTAAACTGCGATAAGAGCCAGACTTATAATAAAACTGCGCCTTTCTATAAACAATTTATTGCCATTACATAGGTCAATCGAACACGGCAACGCGACACGAAATCCCTTGTTATTTCACTAACAAAACCGGTCACGGACCATTTCAGGCGGACAGAGTAGTTTCTATTTATAAACACGAATGCCGGTCTTGAGCACGCCAAGTTGGAAGGACTCCTTCATAAATATTTTCATGGGGAAATGTATCGAGTAGACTTTACAACCTTTGGCAAGCACTTAGAGTAGGATAAAATGTCTCTTGATTTAATGACGTATCTGTGCTAACTTTTTTGATTTCCATCAAAAGGCACAACGCTTCTGAAGGAAATATACTGTCAGTAATCAGCAGAATTTGGAACTGCTAAAAATACAGTTATTAAAAAGTTTCCCAGGATATTATTTTAAGACATATTTACGATTTTATATAAACCTAACCAACCATAAGACTCATTTTACTGGAAAAGAGGCATTCCATCTTAGTCCTCATGGGTGACGACGCATCTGCATTTTGATTCTTTATGGAGGATAAATCTAGATGTCTATGGGTCACAGCAACCACTTACCATCAAGTGGACTTTGTGCTCGTATGTGACCCTATTCTATAAAAAAATATCATACATTTTCTAATACAATATACATAAAGGAAAATATACATAATGTACGTCATTTTCTACTACTATCATTAATGAGATTGACCTAGTAAACGAGGTAAGGTGTATGAGCTTGTCAAGTCCTACTGAGCTAGTCAAGTACCTTGGTAGGGATGTAAAAAACTTTGATCATAAAAACTTGTCTTCCTTTTGTGTATTATGTGTTAATATAAGAAGTCTCAATTGTAATTTAGACGCTTTTCTAGTTTTCATGTCACAATTGAATATTAATATAGACATTGTAGTTTTTACTGAATGTTGGTTAAAAGATGATTCCATAATACCGGAAATAGACACCTACACATCATACTATACTAAACGTTTATTTAACCAGAATGATGGTGTGGTAGCATACGTTAAAAATAACATAAACGTCACATCATATGAACCATTAGTCGATGATGGCAATGTGCTAATACTCACTGTTGATACAGATACCACGGTTATCTGTACATATAGACCACCAAGTTTTCGCAATCCAACGCAGTATATCACATCACTTGATAAAATACTTCATAGCATAAACACAAGTATCGTAGTCTTAACTGGAGATCTAAACTTAGATGTTATGCCTTGTACTATAAAAGGATATTCTGCCGAATACCTCAATATGCTCTCTATGCATGGCTTAAAACAATGCGTTTATCTTCCAACAAGGAAGGAAGCGTGCTTAGATCATTTTATGGTACGAGCCCGACATGGGATTACATCTATTGTTTTCGATGAATTTACTGACCATCACCCTATTTTATTACTTATTGACAGAGTAAAAATTAGTAAAAATAAATCAAAATTTTATAAAGTAAAAATTGACTTTGACAAAATAACTGTAGGTATGAATGAGCTTAACTGGGAAGAATATTATAGAATCGACAATGTCAATGATGCTGCAGAGTATATTGTAAATATTATAAAAGATTTAATACAAGTTAATACAACCAGAATAACTATATCTAAAAGAAATAGGCCATTGAAACCCTGGATAACACCAGGAGTTGTAAAATCGATAAGAAAAAGGGACAAATTACATAAACAACTAAAAAAGGAAAATAATAATGAAGATTTAGCATCACACTATAGGAAATACAGAAACACATGTAACGACATAATAAAAAAGTTAAAAAGACAGTATTACGAACAAGAACTTATTACCAGTACTGGAAACGTTAGAAAGACATGGAAGATAATTAAAGAAGTTTGTAATCTAAGCCAATCAAAACAACCAACAACAGAATTGTTAAAAATTAAAGATACGCCAAAAGCTTCACTTAATCTAGTAAACACCTATTTCACAACCATTGGTTCACAGCTTGCAAATTATACTCTGAACACCATAGGCAAATCAGTCTCAGAACTTGCTGATAATTTCAAACAGATAGGTCCAACACATTCGATGGCTTTTTTCTTAACAGATCCTGAGGAAGTAAAAACTACTATTAACGAACTTAAATCAAATAGTTCCCCTGGCTGGGACAAAATTACTACTGATTTCGTTAAAAGGTATAGTCAAATTCTTTGCGCACCTATAGCACATCTATGTAATAGTAGTTTTCAGACAGGGCAATTTCCATCACTATTCAAGCAGGCCTTAGTAACACCAATATTCAAATCTGGTGATAAGTCCGTTCCTTCGAATTACAGGCCGATTTCTTTGTTACCTACTTTTTCAAAAATAATTGAGAAGCTTGTGAACAACAGACTTATAAAATATCTAGAGCGTTATGGATATCTAGCTGCGAATCAATTTGGTTTTAGGGCACATCGTTCAACAGAAGACGCTATTTTACAACTGATTTCGAAAATAACATCTTACGTAGACAAAGGTGATAAGTGCATCTGTGTTTTCTTAGACTTGCAAAAAGCGTTCGATACTGTGTCTATTCCTATACTTCTCGGACGTCTCGAAAATCTGGGTATAAGAGGTATGCCATGTGCATGGTTTTGTAACTACCTTAAAAACAGAACCCAAGTATTACGTATTGACGACGACCTAAGCGAGAAAGCCGAATGTACCTATGGCATTCCACAGGGTAGCATTCTTGGACCAACACTTTTTTTGACGTACATAAATGAATTATGCAAAATTAATATCCGTAGTGCGGACCTTTTTATGTTTGCGGACGATACTGTAATCCTCTTTCATGGTACAGACTGGGATACTGTGCAGCAATGTGCTGAAAATGGATTACGCATGGTTACAAAATGGCTGGAAAACAATCTTTTAACTGTCAATTGTTCAAAAACGAAATATGTATGTTTTTTCAAAACAATAATCTCAAAACCACCCCACAGCTTCTCTGTCACCATGCATACGTACCCTTGTAATACGTTCCAAAAAAAAGAGAGATTTAAATGTACAATATTAGAACGAACATCTACGATAAAATACCTTGGGGTAATCCTCGACGAAAGATTAAATTGGCAACCTCATATATCAAATATATCTAAACGAATTCGGAGACTCATTATAGTATTTAAGAACCTAAGAACTGTAGCGAATAAAAAACTACTAATTCAGACATATAACGCCCTTTGTCATTGTCTCATAAATTATTGCATCTGCTCATGGGGTGGAGCTCCAAAAACATATCTTATTGAGGCCGAGCGAGCTCAAAGATCTATACTAAAACTAATATTACATCTTCCTTATACATACCCAACATCTAAAGTTTACGTATTGTCAAATGTCCTCAGTGTACGAAAATCATATATATACAAATGCATAAAACGATATCATAATTTTTCCCCACTATATGTAGCTAAAAACAAAAGAACACAAAAATGTCCAGTACCATTTGTGAAAAGCACATTTGCGAAAAGGCAATATGACTACCAAGCACCTCATTTATATAATACAATTAATAAAAAAATTAAGTTAAATAACTTAAAAAGTTACCAAGTAAAACAAGCTATTTTAAATTGGCTAAAAGAATACGACTATGAAAATTGTGAAAACCTACTTTAAGTTATGTACACATATTTTAATGAAAACAGTCGCGCGCACATACACACACACACACACACACACACACACACGCGCGCACACACACACACACACACACACACACACACACACACACACACACACACACACACACACACACACACACACACACTTTTTTAAATATTTTTTATATATTTTAGAGTCTGTATTGTACACGGAAAATCAGATCACTTAATGGGTGGGAAACTGCCTCCTAACATACAGGGTAACCTAGTTTAGGAGTCAGAGAACCAATGAATTGTATATTATATCTGTGTTCAATAAAGAATTATTATTATTATTATTATTATTATTATTTTCCTTTTATTTGGCATTTTTCATTGTAAATAGTTTTATTATATCTGATTTAAGATGGAGTCTCTAATCGCTACTTCTACTTATACTATTGAAAAATCGGTTACCAAAATTTTAAAATATCTTATTAATACGAAACATATAGAATATAAAGTGAAAAATCGATGGTATCTTAACGGTTACAAATAATTATGACATAATACGAGGAAATTTATGGTGCCGAAGTGAATGGAAAAGTTAGCAAGGGACACCCCAGACGGAAGTTTATCGACCAAATTGACAATATATTGAAGATGGGCCAAATAAAGAGTACCCCTAACCGACGAACATGTATGTGTTTTGTTATAAGTATCGTATATATTTCAATATGCATTTAGTAAACAGCTTTTACTTTTACATTATCAACAGACACTTCAATTTTGTTTGTTTGTATAGATCATAATGCATTTTTCAGATATTAAAGGTTTTATCATTATGGTTTTCTTCATCGCCGAGCACGTGCTAAATATATTTTATAATTAATTATCTACAAATTTATTATATTTTATTATCTTCGTATACCCGAAATGTGGCTTAATACTGAGCCCTGCATCAGTATATTAACAGGCTTTTGTTTTACCGATGTTTTTCTTTACAGTGCCTACATCGGACGTCCAGGGAGTTCTCGGCAAGAAGGCGTCGCTGCCATGCGACATTCAACCGTTGCATTCAGACGACGCCGTTGTTATGGTGCTCTGGTTCAAGGAGTCTGATGGAGAACCACTTTATAGGTAACCTCCATATCTACTGAATCCATAACTTAATTTCCTTTTCCTTTAATTAATTTTTTTCCAAAAATATGAAAGATGAAAATATTCGGATATGTCACTGACAGGTCTAATTTTATTGGAAAGTCTGCAATCTCGAATTTCAACGAAAAATTCACAATGCCAAAATTCGTTTAAAATAACAATGGACTAATGGCAGCATAAGGGAATCCACCGCCAATAGAGTGAAATTGAAACAGAAGATGACAGTAGCGACTTCCCTATAACGTCTATTATTTTTATTATTTTTTTTAAATTTCCCCCACTAGGACTTTCTCACAACTGGCAGCTTACATACTTCATTTTTTTTAAAGTTCATCCAGATCCGGAACAATTATTTTGAAAGCCATACAAATACTTGATCCGTGCGGGTTTCAAACTCACGGCCCTCACGCGTTACATGTCATTGCTAGGCCACTGCTCCTGGACCCGTCACGTCACGGACCAATAATGATGAGCTAAATTTAATTATTGAATAGTCTTGAATTTGGATGGAAAATGAGTCTAAAGTGCGAGACGTCCAGTATTGTGATTTTTTTATAGGATAAGTAAATATAAAATAGCACACAGTCCACCTGATAGTAAATAGTTTCTGTGGCCCATAGACATCTATATTTTATCCTTAATTAAGAATCGAAAAGGCAGATGCATTATCACCCCTGAGGTCCAAGATGGATGATGGACAGATTATGTATATTTACTTTTTTTACAGTTATGACATCCGAGGTCGGTCGTATAACCAGCCGAAGTTGTGGTCATCTCCAACGGTATTCGGAAACCGTGCATTCTTCCGAGGTGGTGCAACGCCAGCGGTACTTTTGATAGACAACGTGGCAGCGGTCGACGCCGGCGTATATAGATGTAGAGTCGACTTTAAGAACTCTCCAACTAGAAATTTGAAAGTCAACTTTAGTGTTATAAGTAAGTATTAGTGTGGGTTATAATATAATGGACAATTAAACGAGTAATATTAAAAAAGGGTGTAAGGGTAGGAAAAGTCTGACACGCTAATCTAGTGTGTGTTATTTTTTTTAAATACTAGGAATGTTATTAATATTACTAATATTTCGTTTACCCACTCCTGGTAAGCTTAAATTACTTGTGTTAGAAGTGAGCAGATTCGAACTCACGACCTTTTAATTCGCAGTCCACATCCTGCCAATAGGTATTTAATAAGTGTAATTTCTAAAACAAGCAGGTTTTCTCAAGATTTTTACCTTTATCGCCAAGCACGTGTAAAAATTACACCGTGTAGCGGCGGTGTAAGAATATCTCACCACCCCATATCATTCCATAATCACAATGGGACAAACCAGAAGATGTGCAGCATTCCCAATAGTGACTAAAAAAAGCGATTGCCAACCTGCCCGCCAAGCATGGCAACAATGGCAAATATCGTATGTTCAGCAGTGGACTTTTAATAGGGTGTAACGTGTTATATTAGGCCATAAAATTGCTTTTAGCAATTTCATCGATGCTGGTGTGAACCAAACTTCAATTGTTCTCGTATTGTACTCGTAAATGTTGGGAGCCACATAATAAAAAACAATCATTTTGTATAATTAAATTTCAGCGAATTGTTTAATACCCGGTGTAATCTTAAATGAATCACCTTGACTCAAACCAATCAGAAAAAAAAAACACAAATTAAACTTCTCTTCAGTCTATATTTAACGAACTAAAAAGTCGTTTCTTTTCTCCTACAGTTCCCCCAAGCCGTCCGACGATTTACGATGCAAAGAGAAGAGACAGGACGAAACTGGTTGAGCCTTACAACGAAGGGTCCAACGTTTTGCTCATTTGTGAGGTGGAGGGAGGTTAGTAAATTTTTAACGACTCTAGATTCTGTTCGTTGCTTATTCACGTGATATGTTTGTAATAAATCTTAGTCGAGTATATCTTATGCCACGAAACAAAATAAATTCGAAATATTTTTAGCTAGATAGGTACTATAAAAGTAAAAAAAATAATATTATGAGTGTAGTGACGGTGTAAGAATATCCACTGCCCCAAATTATTTATTTATTTATTTATTACAAAGTATAGTTATTTAATAACATCCGACAGTACAAATAAACTTACAAAAGTTTTTCCATGTACCGCCAATTCGTAACTTCGATCATGTTCAATCGGTTCGCGTTGCGACAACTTATTTAATGACGTATATAAATGGTGTGACAAAATGGCAAGATGTTTTTTCTTTTATCTAGGTGTGTACCAAAGCAAAATATGGTTAGTATTAAATGAAAATTAGTAAATTAGTAATTTTTTTTTATTTATGTATATTATATTATGATGTGTGTTAGTGTTATATGTTTAGTTTTATATTTTAGTTTAAGTTATTATTAGGTATCGTTAACAGTTTGTCGATAAAATACTGTTTAAGCATATATTTAATATTTTTTTCAGTAAGTTCATTTTTTATTGGTTTGGGAATTTGGTTCAAAAGAGCGGGAATTTGATATTGTAATCTAAATTTTCCGTACATATTTTTGTATTTTGAGTTAATCATATATGGATTAAGGGCTTGTCGAGTAAGTTTTGTATAAATACGGCTAATTTTTAATTCTTCCTTGCCATAATTTTCAAGTAGCAATAGGTATTTGACTTTGTCGTGCACTGGTAGTAATTTGCAATGATGGAAAAGACCATAAGGATTTTTTTATATTTATCTTTTATTTTGAGAGGGGTGATACATTTAAGGATGCGCAAATGTAGCTCGTATATTTTTTCAAGGTGAGTTTTATAAGTGCGTCCGTAACTGCTCAACCCGTACGAGAATATTGATTCGCCGTGTACATTAGTAACAGTAAATCGTTCCTTTGTTTCGTAGGAGGCAACAGAGGGAAAATAAAACAGAACATGGTCAGCAACATCTTCCTGATAACAGCTTCAAATATTAAAAATACTCTAAATATTGCCCAAAAGTTGAGTGTATTGCTAGTACGATTAACTCTTGGACAATATTGGGTTTCCTTAAAGGTCTAAATTTCAAAATAATATACGTTTTACATTTCAACATAATTGTATACATTTATAATAAAATGTTTTGGTTTCAATAATGTTTGTTAGAGGATATTTAATAATGTAAATATGTTGTAAGTAAGATAAGATAAGTAAGATGATATAGAAGTATAGATGACAAACCAGCACACAGTCCACCTGATGGTAAATATATACTGTGGCTCAAAGGCACCTATGTATCTCTATCCTCTGTTCAAAATCAGATCAAAAGGCAAATGCGTTGTCATTCCTGAGGACTTATATAGAATACTTGGTGTCTATTTATATAAATTTTAGCTGTCTGCACTCTTTCTCCACCTAAATTAACTGTGGTAAATATCACACTCCTCTGGGCGTGCGATATGGTTTAAATGGTACAAAATTTTTTTTCACGCTTTAATATACAGAACACTACATTAAGAACTAATTATAATAAAGAAAAAAAAATGATTCAACTAAAGTAATGAAATCGTACAACGGTTTTAATCATTATATAAAGCTTACGAACATTAAGAAATAATGCATTTTAAAATATTTAACATGACTTGCGTTGAGTTGATGAATTGCTTGTTGCTGTAGTCAATACGTACTTAGTAATTTTTAATCATCCATTCACAAGTCGGCTACGTCGATATACCGTTTTAAGGGTCGTTTCCTTTCGCTAAGTGTATTTACTATTAAAATTGTACCGTGCTATGTTTCCTTTACAACATAAATAGCTATTAAATTTAACGATTTGCTTTTTGTTAGTAAAACAAGAGAATTATCGTAATTTATTTCTTATAAATTTAAAAGGTTAACAATTATTATAATACTAGCTGTGCTCGCGGCGTAGCTCGCGTATACAGGTTTTACATAAACAATGTGTCGTTTAGATAAGAGAATATTAAACGATTTATTCCATTACTGTATCAATAAGTGGTAACTAAATAAATCATTATCATCAAAGTTCTAAGTCGTTCATGATAGAGCTTCTGTGTAAACGACATGAGAAGTAGGCTTAGCCGGGGTGTACACTAAAAGGTTACGGGGGCTACTAACGCGGGAAAAAGCAACATAGAGTTGGCCATGTGCAAAACAGTCAGTACTGAGGTACACTCCTACAACGCGTAAAGTTTGACCTTGCGCTTTATTTACGGTCATCGCATAACACACGCTCACTGTAACTGGGAACTGAACGCGCTTAAAACTGAAAGGAAAGTTACTTCTTAATAGAGGGTTTTTGGGCAGTGCTGCCAGATAAAAAAAAACTAATTCAGCTCTAGGACAACACAAAAAGCGCTAGATTTCATGAAAACAGCGCTTTAAAAAAGCCCTAGATTTCGCGCTAAATTAACTACAAACAAAGTTTGTGTTTTTTTATATAATCATAATAAAGAAAACAACATTAAGTTTTTTTTCTGGCAATATTTTTTTGATGTATCAATACTTCGCAGGACATCGACTTATAATTATGGCAATTGCTGTCAACAGTAGTTAGTACTGTACGAACAATAAAAATGTCATTAATTGTTTTAAAGTGCAATGTATTTCGCAACTTAGTTTCTGATGTCAGCATCTGATTGCGGTTGCTACACAGTTTCTTTGTGTTATAACTTCTAAGTAACTTTTAACTTAGCTGTGCTCTAAGCAATTGACTGAAACTGAATAAAGCAAAATAAATGAGTTGCCAAAACCATGAACAAAAACTTTAATAAAGGGGATTTCCCCGCTTATAGTCGTCGGTAAAAAAATCAAGTTGATCATCCTAAAGGGGAAGCCAGGAGATCCATAGCACAGGGTATCCTAGTTTGGACTCGTCTCCCATGCTCTTTGTTTTGTGGAAAAAATATGTTTGAAAAAGATAAACTGCAATGTACTATTTGTGGGAAAAAATAATAAAGGTCATTATTATTATTATCGGTAATGTGGACTAACAGTGCTGCTATAAAAGAGTTAATAACCCGCTAGTCGCTAAAATATTGAAATGTGTGCTAAATACACCAAAAAGCGCTGGATTAAGCTAGGTGCTAAAATTTCGAAATGCGCGCTATACATTCCAAAAAAGCGCTAAATCTAGTTCCCAAAGCGCTAAAATGGCAGTACTGATTTTGCGTATATTATAAATACAATATCACGACATTTCGTTGGAAAATTTTTATTTTTGGTCGGATTCCGTTGTATGGCTTCGATGGATACAAATTTCTTCAGTACCTAAGTCTCAATACGATTCATCGGCGAAAAATCTCAACACAGCAATTCAGAAAAGTTTGTAATTTGTACAACTCCATCTATTACGTCCTTTGTGTGAGAAAACATCATTTTTAAATCTCTTTTTGTGTTTTAAGTATAAATATATTAATTATTATGGAACTTTTTTTTTACACACAAATCTTTTTATTACTATTTCTGAGATTTTATGGCGCCATTGAACAAATTCGAACCTACATTTCAAAATAATAATCATTACTTTCGATAGAATTTACCAATTTTAATAAAACAAAGATTAAATGTAACTCGAAGATACGCTTTATGATTTTCTTAACGATTTCTTTGAAAATAAAAGATGCTTACTTTAGACGTGATGCGTTCATATAATAACAGACAAATAGACATACAGACAATTCTAAAAATTATAAAATGTTCTTATTTAATTATTTTCAGTTCCCCATAATGATTTTAGCCACCAAAATATATACCTATACAATGTACAGAAAGAGACGCAACATGTTATCATCATTTTTATTATATGTAAATATTTAAAGAGAGATGGCGCTGCTAACATCAATTCTAAAAATAAAAGAGATTAATTGACGCGATTGATACATTATATAAAACGCAAGAGAACTTATAAATCAGTGCTTGCACAGTAAGCAAAAAATAAAGTTTGACTCTCGCCAAAACCAACGATTTGTTAATAGCTCTTTTAAAATTTGATTTACCACATAGAGTACTCGGCGGTAAAGAATAAATTGAGTTTATCAACACGCAGTAAGGCAGCGAGTAATATAATAAAGATTAGCAGTAAATATGAAAACTCATCTACATGAAAAAACCACATTGCAATTGCATTACATTTTCACAACACCACCATCTATCGAAGAAATGGGAAAACTATTGTGCTTCAGATTTAGTTAATAAGGTTAATATATTTTGTATAATATATTTAATACGTTCTTTAATACTTTTGTTTACTGCGTTTTAGATATACATAATTATATCATTATTTTACATAATTTAACTATGATTTATGATATGATATTAGTTTAAAATGCACTTGATGACTCAAACAAAGCCATCGTTGAGCAAATTCGTACCTATACTTTCCTACCCATACTTCAGAATATTTATCATAACTTTTGATGGAATGAACTGATTTTAATGAAATAAAGACTAAATGTAACCCGAAGATACACTTTATAATTTCCTTAACAATTCTTATGATATAAATTAGTACTTTATACGTGATACGTTAACAAACAAACAGACAGACAGACAGACAGACAGACAGAAAATTCTAAAAATGGTAGAAATGTATTTAATTACTTATTTTTAGTACCCCTCAATCACTTTTATTACAAAAATATAAAATGTACAGACATCTGCTATTTACAGTTTTATTATATGTATAGATGATAATATTCCATTCTGTTCGTCTGCCATATCACAGCTACATAAACTTTTGAAAAATTTACGTAAACGATCATCAGTAGCGGTTTGTCTGCGTGATAAACTTAGAAATGAGGCTATCTGCAGTAGAACCAAACTAACCGACATAGCCCAACGGATTAGAAAGCTGAAGTGGCAATGGACCGGCGATATAGCTCGAAGAATC